GTTCTGACTACTGCCTCTTGGTCCAAGTATAGGTTTCGTATTAGCACAATTAAATGTTCTGGGATTCCCATTCTTCTCAGAGTTTTTTCTCAATCTGTAGCTTTCCTCTTTACTCTGTTGGAGAAGTTTTTAGATGTGCATAAGGATTTGAATCTTAGAAGGTCCCGTTCGTCTATTTTATCCTCTCCTGGTTGTAGATTTTTCAGTATGCTTGAAAGACTGTTTATGTTGTGGATTAGGAATTCTAGAGTTCTTCCAAGCTTTTCTTTAATGAAGTTTATAGTCCTTGGTTTTAGTCCAAGGTCCATGATCCATTTTTTATAAGGAGTGAGGTTTGGATCTTGCTTGAGTTTTCTACAGGTAGTTTTCCAATTTTGCCAGCAACATTTGTTGAAAAGTTTGTCATCTCCCCACTTAACTGAATCAATTGACCATAGGTAGATGGGCTGATTTCTGTATTTTGTATTCTATTCCATTGATCTTTGTGTCTGTCATTATACCAGTACCATACTGTCTTGACCACCATGGCAGTGTGGTCCGAAGTCAGGGAGTGAGATGCCTCCTACCATATTTCTCTTTTTAAGGATTGCTTTGTTTATTCGGGTCCTCTTTCCATTCCAAATGAAGCTGGAAATTGCCTTTTCCATCTTGTTGAAAAATGGAATTGGTATTTATATTGGTATTGCATTGAATGTGTAAATTGCCTGTGGTAGTATTGTCATTTTCACAATATTGCATCCTCCTATCCATGAGCAAGGCATATTCTTCCACTTCTCCAGATCTCTTTTTGTATCTTGTAGTAATGTTTTATAATTGTCTTTGAAAAGATCCTTTGTGCTTCTGGTTAGATTTACTACCAGGTATTTTATCTTGTGATTAGCAATTGTGAACGGTATTGATTTTCTAAGCTCCAGTTCTGTTTTCTGTTTGTCACTGTAGAGAAGAAATTCAATCACTTTTAAGAAGAAAAATAAAAAGATAATTAACAAACAAGTGAAAGAAGTAGAGATAGGGTAAGATAGATCTCCAAGCCACATGGAGATCTCAAAATAATTGGAAAACAAGCCAAAGGGGCACAGGCCTCTCCACAAAGATGACAGAGAAAGAAAGTCTTCTCCTAAGGACAGTGCATTAAATTTGGACATTAGCATCCTAAACTCAAGGGTACATAACAACAACAACAAATTGTGAGAAAATAAATTTCCATTTGTTAAAACCATTCACTTTAGTTATCTCTGTTATAAGAAGCCTAGATAACTAAGACATTGCAGCATTATTCACAATAGCCAAGTGGTGGAACATCCTACATATCTACCAACAGCTGAATGAATGAAAAAACCCATTTCCATACTGCTTGGCAATAAAGAGAAATTAAGATCAAAACTACAGTATGAATAAACCTAAAAAAACCTTATGCTCCGTGAAATAATCACAAAAGGGAAAATATTGTAAGAATCTCATTGATATGAAATAACAAGAGTGGATACATGTGTTAGCAAACAAAGTTTGTTAGTAGTAGGAGAGAGGGGTTAAGAGAGAGCCAACAATTTTGAAAGCCAATTTTTGTGAGTGTTTATGATGATAGGCCCAACTGATGTTTAAATATAAAGGCCCAGTCACCAGATTCTAATTGACTTAAACAAGGGGCTTCCAGCCATAGCTGATTGTTAACTAAATTTGGCAACCAAGCACTTGCTCCTATATGAAGCAGATGGATTCTGGAGGATAGGTTCTCTTGTTTTTGTTTAAAGTCAGATGTGTGTGAGCTGATTGGTAGCCTGAATCAAATGGATTTAGCTAACAATCAGCTATGGGCTGGAAGCCTCTTGTTTAAGTCAATCAGGACCTGGTAGGGTGGGCCTTTTTATTTAAAAGTTGGTTGGGCTCTCAGGCCTGCAGCCCTTGGACCTAATGTCAATTGTGTTTGAGAAGAACATTGTTCTAAGTGGTACAGCACTTGTCTGTCAGTTTGCTGTACAGAGATTACTTGGAGTTGTTGTGATGCTGAATCCTGTGCTTCTGATATGTCAAATGCTGTAATAGTTACCCACGGTGGACAGGATTTGGTAGAGCTCCCAGATTGAGACAAACTTCGAAGCAGGATTTGCATCCACTTGTTAAAATAATAGGGCTTTGAAAAGCCTATGAAAACTAGAGAAATGGCAATAGTTATAGAACAGAATTCAGGTCTTTCGTTCATAAAGTCCCTATGAGTCATACTCAACTAGATGGCACTAAACTACAACAACAACAATGATGATGGGGGCACTTGACAATAAGTTGAACTACATTATTCACATGGTTGATACTACTAAATTGTCAAATTGGGTGGAACACACCTCTTTTTCCACCCTCTTCCCCTTTTCTCTTCCCCCTTTTGAACATTTAGAAACATCCAAATATCCGTATATTTTTACAATAATGGTCTTATGCAGTATTTGTCCTTACGGAGAAGGGTAGAAATCACTAGGATAGCAAAGTGTAGTGGTCAAATGGGGGCAGTGAAGATTCAATGGAGATTTGAAATTATTGGTTAGAATAGGCATAAATCATTAGTAATTAATTATATAAAATACAATATATATGAATGATTGTATAAAACTAATGTAAGTAAAAGAGTGTGTAAAACACAATGTGCATGAATGTAAAAAAAATAATAATAAAGTGCTAAAGAGCAAGAATTTTTAAAAACCCAAACACAACAACAAAAACCTCAATTGTTGTCATTGAGTTTTTGAGGCTTCCCATGTTTATTGCATGAAAGAGATTGTTGTATACCTGAAAAATGTTGAAGTGGGAAATTTTGTGTTTTATATATACCTTTAGGGTGCTCTGGTGGCTTAGTGGTAAGGAGTTGCACTGCCAACTTAAAGGTACATAGTTTGAGTCCATCAGCTGCTCTATAGGGAAGAGATAGGCAAGTTCCTCCTGTGCAATTTACAGCCTCTGAAGCACAATATAAAACCAACAACATATATGCACTGACAGCAACAGGAAAAATAGAAAGACTAAGTTCTCATTACTCACTAATTCACCATAGTGGTTTCATAAGAGTGGTTTTGAAGCTACTGGATATATCATAGCTTTCCAGATGACACTTATGTTGCTAAGATACAGAGTTTTACTTCTGCCACTAACGGTAATTCCATTACATATATTTAAAAGTATGCCACATGTCATCACTGCTTCATCAAAACCCTTGTTCATTCTGATAAAATTTACCTCATTTTTTAAAAATAATTTTATTTATAGGTTAGTCTATTATTAGGGAGCTCTGGTGACTAGTAGTAAGAAGCTGTGCTGCAATCCTTGAAGGCTCGTGATTTGAATCCACCAGTTGTTCCGCTATAGAAAGACAAGCAATATACTCTTTTATTAATTGCCTTTGAAAACCAACCAGAGAATCAGCTAGGGATCAGTTCCAAATCACTGTCACACAACAACATTCTGTTATTATTCAGTGTCTAATTTTGTAGGTTGCTACGTTACATAGCTATGAGATCCCTCATGATACAATGGTTTGTTAGGCTGCTAACCAAAAGGCCAACAATTTGAATCCACCAACCTATCTGTGGGAGAAAGATGAGACAGTCTGTTCTTCTAAATAGTTTTGGAAATCTGATGGGAGCTATTCTACTCTGTCCTATAGGTTCATCAGCTGGAATCAACTTGATGGCAGTGGACGTGGTTTAGTTATGTTTTTACATAGCTATGATCTTAGACACCCATCAAAAGCACAGAAATGCTAAGCTGGAGAGCTACAGTAACTGTGGTTGCCTAATGTGAAAGGAATTGCACTGCCAGCCCAAAGACAGGCAGTTTTAATCTACTAGCTTCTCCACGGGAGAAACATAGGCAATCTCTTCCTATGTGATTTCAAGTCTCTGAAAACCTGATGGAGGGTCAGATGAGTTGATTCCAATTTGATGACAATGAAATATTTTGGGGGCTTGTAGTTTTTCATGTGTATGTGACTATAACATACTTTCCTAGCCTGTCCTTGTTAATGTCGCAGCAAAGATTCTCCGGAAACTGGTAGGTATCAGGGAGAAAATACTTGACTCCTGCTAACACTGAAAATGACACAAGCTCTTCTTTTTCCTGATCAATGCTTTCTAGATCTTGAAGTATATTGACTTTGAGTCTACCAATTAAAAAGGGAAAAGCCCCAGGGATGAGGATGGGAAATAAGATTGGAAATGCCTCAATAACCCTGTGCACATTAGAAAAAGCAAATGAACAAAGAATATTTACTAACCGCAAAAGAATATGTTTTCCTTCTCAGCAAGTTTTCTGCCTTCCTTACTAAAGATTTAGATCCATTGTCTTTTTCGCACACTTGACAGAACAATCAGTGATTTCTGCATTCTCTTCATCACCTTATTAATGTGCTCATTATAAAGAACAAAGTATGTGGGTTCTGTTAAGAAATCTTTAAAGCAACAGTGGACACTTCTTTTTATCTTGTTTATTTCAGACCAGCCTTAACAGCATGATGAGTGTTTATAGTGAAACAGGAGACTATGGCAATGTGAAGGTCAGTGGTGAGATTCTTCTCCACATCAGCTACTGTTACAAAACTGGTGGGCTCTACATTTTTGTCAAGAATTGCAGGAATCTGGCCATAGGAGATGAAAAGAAACAGAGGACAGATGCGTAAGTACATAGAACATTCCTCGAACTATTTCAATCACTGCATTCTTCCCCCACCCCCATATATGTGTTTCTTCGTTAGAATAGTCTTTAGAATCAAATCTTTCTCAGCAAATTGATCATCACTCTCCTCCATCTAAATAGTCACTGAAATGCATATGTAATGGTTGTGTCTGGGGTTCACCTGATTTTAAAAAAGCTATCACTCAGTGTCATTCGGAACTGGAAAATCTGTAATTTATGTAGAAGCAGCTTTCTGGTTTAGAAAGCTGACATCTTGGCACACCCCAGGATATACCAGAATATCCTGTTAACTTTTGTTCTGGGAAACCTGCCAGAGAAAAGTACCAAGCTGTTAGCCCAGCTGAGCAAATCAAAAGGGCAACTGTGAAGTTCTCAAGTGTCCAGGGATCAGCCTGACAGGCCACGTAGGTGCTATATTGCACTGAAGAGAAGCTAAATATATAACTATGTTGAAGGTCCCCCAAGTCCACCTCCAGGTTCAGTGATTCCCTAGGAGCACTCACAGAGCTCCATATATGGTTGAAGTCAACAAAGGAAAAAGGTACATGGACAAATTCTAGAGGAAACTGGTCATGAGCTTCCAAGGTCCTGTCATATTGGAGTCACACAGGATGTGCTTAGTTCCTACAGTAATTATTTATGAAAGAACAAGTGGATTTACTTATCAAGTACATTCATTAACAATTCAGGACCCGAGGTTTTTACTGGGTCGTGTAGGCAGCCTCTATCTGGAATGTAGCAAGATTACAGATTCTCAAAAGAAAATCATGTGTTCAGTATAAATCAAATAGTTTGTACAGTTTAGATACAGTGAGCCGCTTTTATCGGTTCTGAAAACATTGAGAACATGACAAAACTTCATGTTCCCAGACATCAGCTCAAAGGACAGTAGTCTCCCTGCCTTGCTCATTTTTGCTGAATATGTTGTTGTTAGATACCATCAAGTTGACTAAAAATCATAGTGATCATATGAAGAACATATCAAAACTTTGCCCTCTCCTACCACGTTATCTTTGCTCTGCTCAAGACCTAGTAATTGACTCATATCCAATAACCAGTCCAGTGGAACCCATTCCAACTATCCTAAAATAGAAGCATGAGTGGATTATTCCTATATATTGTGCCATTTTCTTTACCACTTATGTTTAAGAGAGTTATAATCATTTGGACAAGCATTGTAAGGGGGCATCAAAAGCTTTGAGAGGTGCACTTCAGACCTCTAGTAAAAACATATATTTCTAAATATACTGTGATGCCTCTGATCCATGGATTTCCTGGAATAGCTCAAAGCAAGGTCTTCTGCAGAATTGGTTAGGCTGATATTTCCTTTTTATTCTTTCTCACGATTTCCTTTCATTCTTTCTCACGATTTCCTTTCATTCATCCATTACTATTACTATAGAGCAACATCATAGAATCTGTTTGAAGTAAAAGCAATACAGGCATATTGAAAACTAAGAATGGTCTGGCCTGGGAAGACATCTATATTCCCAGAGTGCAATTGACCACTCTGACAGACAAGGAGGAAGAAAATATTTATGTACAGTTGGAGCAGGAAGTTTAGGTTATAAAATTCATAATTGACTGGAAGACAATTAGGAGTAAAAGACTGGATATCTACAAGCAACAATTTAGTGGGATAGATGGGAGCACATAAATGAGATTCCATAATTGTTAAAGGTACACACTATTCCATTTATTACTGATGATGGCAAGACATGTTTTTCTGCTGAATATCCCATGAAATGCCAAAAAAACAGAAAAGTATGTCTTGGAAAATGTGCATCTAGGATTCTCCTTAGAAGCAACAATAATGAAACTGTCTCACATACTTTGGGTATGTTGTCAGGAGGAGCCAGTCCTTGGAAAGGGACAATATGCTTGGAAAGAGAGGATATTATCACACAGAGAGGATAAGATATTGAAAATTACTACTAAAATCAGTGAGTTGTGGAGTAATTAAAATTCAATTGACTTGACTCCAGAACCAACCTTCTTTACCTCTATCATTTACTGCTTATCTCTTATAGAAAGCGCAGGTTAATAGCTGAAGTATCTTCCTGTAACCTTATTGACTGTGTCTGTTATATTTAATACTATATTGCCTTTACCTCTTTTATTCACCAAAAGTCCTTAGCATTTCTTGCAAAATAAGATTTTTCAATAATCCATTTCTTATCATTTTCAGTTACGTCAAGTCATATCTTCTTCCTGACAAGTCCCGAAACAACAAACGCAAGACCAAAATCAGAACAGGCACTAATCCAGAATTCAATGAAACACTAAAGGTAAACAAATACTCTCTCTCAGTAGTCCATGACAAGCGACCTCATCCTTTTAAAGACAGTCTTGTTTTCATGACTTGGATGTCCAGTAGAAAACTGCAGACTTTGAATCAATCATTGTTATATCACTGTCTTTCTTAATAGTGTTTGGAGAGAAAGAAATGCTCACTCAGCTTATAATTTCTCCATCCCCTGCTACTGCTAAAGTTGCACCTTAAAATAGAGATAACTTAAGAAAATTACTCCTTGGCTAATATAGTGTCTAAAAGTATGTGTTACCTTTTGGGGAAAAAAAACCTATACTTTCTCTAGTCTTCTTAAAAGTACTTTATCACACACATTTAATGGGACACCATGGTCACATTCAATATTCTGCTAACACAAACAGGTCTGTGTTGGAGAGGGTGAAACCAAGTTTCTCCTTGGAGGTTAGGAGTTTAAAGCTCCATCTTACATACCTTGGGCAAGTGGCCAGGAGAGACTGGTCCTTGGAGAAGGACATCATGCTTGGAAGGGTGGAGGGACAATGCAGAGAGGAAGACCCCAGATGATAATGGATTGATACAGTGAAGCAATGGGGGTTGGTGTGTTGAAATTAGTGAGCCTGGCTCAGAACAAGGCAGGGATCAGAGCTGCTGTACATAGGGTTGCAGGTGACTCAACGGCACAAAACAATAACAAGTTTCGTGATAGGGTTTTGGGATTTCAGCTAAATTTAGATGTATGGTTAATGAATACTGGAGATGCAAGGTTTGATTTGAGAAATCTCAGAGAAAGTTGTTGTTGTTATGTGCTGTCGAGTCACTTGTGACTCATAGCAACCCTAGGTACAACAGCCCTAAACTCTGCTCTGTCCTGTGCCAATCGCACTGTCTCTGACACATCCATCCCGATTACCCCAGTCACTGAATCAATCCACCTCGTAGAGGGCCTTCCACTTCTGTGCTGTCCCTCCACCCTCCCAAGCATGATGCTTCTCTCCAAGGACCAGTCCCTCCTTACAGCATGTCCAAAGTATGTTAGACAGAGCCTCAGAATCCTTGCCTCCAGGGTAGACTACATAAAACATAACTCAAGCCCCAATCCTAAAGAAAATTACTTTTCCAAATGGAATTCCATACAACAACTCCTACTCTGGACCAAACGAGCTTAATAAGAATATCTGAGGAGCTTGGAGGTAGACAATATTGCCAATTCAAGTGAAATATATGAGCCTTGTGCAAGAGAGATAATGTCTCTTGTTATTGTTGTTATGGGCTATCGAGTTGCTTGTGACTCATAGCAATCCTATGTACAACAGCTCTAAATGCTGCTCTATCCTTTGCCAATCTTATTGTCCCGAAACAACTATCCTCATTACGCCAGTGACTGAATAAAGCCAACTTACCGAGGATCTTATTCTGCTGCGCTGTACCTCCACCTTTCCAACATTACATCCCTCTCCAAGGACTGATCCCACCTTGCAACATGTCCAAAGTATGTCAGACGAAGCTTCAGAATTTTTGCCTCCAAGGAAAAGCCTGGCTTCACCCTCTTCAGGATGAACTTGTTTGTTTTAGCCATTGTCCAGCTCTCTGTTAGCAAGTAATTGCAAAGACCATGGCCTGTATCAGGTGTACTTTAGTCTCCAGACTGACATCGTTGCTCTTCAGTACTTGGGAGACGTCACTGACAGCAGATGTTCCCAATGCAATCTGTCTTTTAATTTCTGGGTTGCTGGTACCAAGAGTGTTGATTGTAGAGCGAAGCAAACCAAAGCTGTCAACAATCTCAAACTCTTCACCATCTATCATGATGCTGCCAATCAGCCCAGTGGTGAGAATCATTGTTTTCTTTTTTCTTTTCTTTTTTTTTTTTGGTAGCCTCTCTGTGTCTTCATTTTTGTTATTAAATTTTATTAGTTTTAATGAACATTTACAGAGATTTTGGGTTTTCATTCATTCATTGCTG